AGTCTATATTATATCACATGAATCCTTGTTCACCTCTTGATGTTGTCACCAAATGTTATGCAGGGCCACGATGATCTATGTGAAGCTTTCTTTGCCTATAACCGGGCAAAAGGAACCCTCTATGATGGTGAAACTAGACTATTTCTTCGAAACAGTGGTTAGTATCATTTAGCTATTATTTCAAGCCTGGCTATGGAAATTGATCATTTTCCCCCTGCTGTACGACCCAGCAACTGCAGTAGTGATTATGATATTATCAAAAAGTCTAGCAATTTGACTTTCTTTGTCATATTTTCTTTATCATCCAACACAAGCAGCATCACTATGACACCTGTTATTACTTGATAGTATTCACATACTACTAATCCTGAAGCTTGTCAACTTCCTTTTTCATGGAATAAGGGCAAGCTCTCAATATTTTTTGTTTGCACAAGCTTGATTGTAATGAATTATAACTTCCTACTGAGGGTGTGTGCCCATAATGCCCATTTTTTTCTCAACTATGGTATTCTATCTTCAGCTTGTACAAATATATATGTTCTTAAAGTGTGTTTATCCCTAATTATAGAATCATTCAAGATTGGAATACTGAAAGAGTTTGCAATTTATAATAGGAAAACCAGTATACATGTACAGTATGGGAGGGCTTGCTGAATACTGTGTTGTGCCAGCAAATGGAGTGGCTGTACTACCAGAATCATTGCCATATCCACAGTCTGCAATTCTAGGATGTGCTGTTTTTACTGCTTATGGTGCTATGGCTCACGCAGCTCAAGTGCGTCCTGGTGATTCTGTTGCTGTTATTGGAACTGGGGGTGTTGGTTCTAGGTAAATAATCAATTTTCAAAATATTTTTACGCTGTTAGATCTTCATCTTGCTGTGCCTATTGCACGTTGTATTTGTTATCTAGGTCAACAAGAAAAGGCAGACTATTCTTGTTTGTGGTACTTTATATTTTACCTCTGCTAAATATGGTCAAGCCTAAGAGTTTGGAGCTTGTAATAGCCATTTTATTCACAATTGATTATTTCTATGTGGCCTAAGTTACGCTTGAATTGTTGAAAACTAGTTCTGAACAATATACATTTAAGAGTCTAATATTATTCAAAACATTATATGTGCCAGCCACTAGGCTATTGAGAACCTGAGATTTAAGAAGATTTGTATAAATTATAAACAGCTCTTGTCACTAGATCAGTTGATACTCATTTACAGAATTGTAGGCTTCCTATGTTGGCCATGTATGAAAGCAACTGGCTCTAATCAAATTGTTTTCCCGTTTAACTTTACCACTCATTCCAGTTGTTTGCAGATAGCTAGAGCCTTTGGTGCTTCGGAAATAATTGCTGTGGATGTTCAGGATGAAAAGCTACAGAAAGCAAAGACATTTGGTGCTACTCACACTGTAAATTCAGCAAAGGAAGATCCCATTGAAAAGATAAATGTATATGCATTTGTCTTTTGCCATGCTGTTTACATTTTCCTTAATTGTATCTACCTTGAATCAGAAAATTTGTTTTATAAAATCTATAGCCCTTTAAGTAACTGCTGCTTCAATAAAATTTAAAAAGAAAATAAGCTCATAGATTTCGTGCTTATATTATATTAACCTTGACATACCTAATGGCTTGTGTAGTCTGCCAAATCACGTATTCACACCCACACACTCGTTCTATCTATTGGCTCGTGACATGTTATCTGCTCAAACCATCATGATGATGGCATCATTTGATCACTTGAAGACACCCCTTTTTAATTTTTTGTAATATTTTCACACAGGAAATTACTGGTGGAAAGGGTGTTGATGTAGCTGTGGAAGCCTTAGGGAAACCACAAACATTTGCTCAGTGCACACTAAGTGTGAAGGATGGTGGAAAAGCCGTAATGATTGGACTGGCACAAGCTGGTTCTTTAGGAGAGGTGGATATAAATCGGCTTGTTCGCAGAAAGGTATGTTCTCTGTATGTATATACTTTACTGTTTATGTAACCAGTACTCCCTCATAAACCACTCACTACCTCTATATAGAATGAATTTAAATGCTTCATTATGATTATATCATGTTAATATTTGTTCTGTCAGCGACGAGGAGGATGCAGTGAATCAATGAAGTTAACCAAACAAATCCTTTTGTTTTCTGCAATGTTGATGATTGTATTCTCTTTTCATCTAAACATATTAAATTTGTGTTTGAGCAGATACAAGTTATTGGCTCGTATGGAGGCAGGGCGAGGCAAGATCTTCCAAAACTAATTAGATTGGCAGAAACAGGTATCTTCAATCTTGACCATGCTGTTTCTAGAACATACACCTTTGAGGATTCAGCCAAAGCATTCCAAGATCTTAATGAAGGAAAAATCATTGGTCGAGCTGTGATCGAGATAATGTAAGTCTATATTCTCAGCAGTGCTTTTCTGCAGCATCAGCTCTGCTTCTCACAGTCCAGAAGGGTATATGTGGTTTGGAGTTGCGAGGTGTTGGTGCCCTGAGAACACAAATGGAGAAATGTCTTTTTATGTGTCATTGCAGGGACATGTTCAAATAAAACTATTTTTCCTTTTTGTCCATTGCTTTGCTTCGTAAACCAAGGTGAAAGAATAATGGTCTCTGAATGCTCATCATTTCCCTGTCATAAAAAATGTGTTGAAGGTATGTAAAAGTAACGAAAATGAATTTAATAAATTTAACTACTTTTTGAAAATTATTTATTTCCATGAAACAATATTTTTCTCATCTGTCTTAAGAGAATAGAGTGTGTTAAGTTTTGGAATAGGAATTAGGAGAATTGTTTTTTATCAAAGTGAAACCTAAACTTATACAATGTATTCATGTTAGGTTATTACTAGTTAAGATTGATTTAATATGGAGTTTGATTATACTCTGAGTGATAAAATATAATTTTTAATTTGTGGTCATACTAAGTTTTAAAAGCAAACTTCTACTTAGGATAAAAATATCTAAATAAGTTCGTTTCACTGGAAAATCAATTTTAACAAAACTATTTTTGCAGGATTAATTCCATTCAAAATGAAATGTTAGCAAAAATCAATTTTAACAAATCTATTTTGCAGAATTAATTCCATTCAAAATGAAATGTAAGCATAGTTGAAGTTCAATTTTTTGGAAAAGAAACTTGGTTACCTTTGACTTATGTCTCGGCCGAGTCAGATTATTTTAAACCGAAACCTTTAAGATATTGGTAGACCATATATAAGGACAAACATTTTTTTTTATGAAAAATCATATTGATATTTAAAATTAGATTTTGTCAAAATCCATTAAATTATTTTTTAGAATAGAAATAGAAACAAATAAATATTAAAGAATTTCTTTTTCAAATTGTTAAAAATTGAAGAAAAGTATCATTGAAGTAGAAAACAAAACACAAGAAATGAATGATGAAAATTAAAACAAAAATATAATATACAAACACCAATGATAAAAAAGTAATTATAATGGTCTCAAAGTTCATGCAATGTGCATGAGTCCCCCTGTAGAATGCTAAAAAAACCCTTCCCAAATAGAAATATTAATAATAAATACCTCTAACTATAAAAATTAATAGTACACAAACCAATACAAAAACAAGTCACATCCTTTAAAAATAACAATAATATATAAAAGAAAGACTACTAAAATAGAATATTTAATGTGAAAGAGGAAAATATACATTTAATTATTTTATGGTGAAAGAGGAAAATATACATTTAATTAGATGTCAACTTAACGTATGACCCATGAGCGGTACTAATTCACTCTTAAAAAAATTTCCTTTTAGGAAGTGCTTCAAGTGGGGGACAAAAAAAACCACAACCCCTATGACTCCTCTTAAGTGGATTATGGTCAAAATTAAGGTGAGTTTAGCCTCAATCCCATTACAAAACTTTTATCTTTCATTAATTTTTCCTCTATAATGTCTCTAATATATTATTTCTCTTGCATTCCTTGCCCCACCGGCAAGATGCTCTCGCAAATTATTTTATTTATTTAATAAATACATTTTCACTTACTTGTTTTCTGCTTTATTTTTAAATTCTAATTATTAGTCTTTGTTTTTTTCAAAAATGTATATTTAGTTTTTCATCCACGTAAAAAAAATATTGATAAATGTTAAACTTAATATAAAAATCATTAATATCATGTATTAGGTAAGTTTAGTTTTCTCTCAATTCAATTTTATGATGATAAAACATGTTAATAAATTTTAAATTTAATTATAAAAATTATTGAAATTACAGTATATTACGTCTCAATAAAACATTAATTACAGCATATTTCGTTCCAAACTAATATATATACAATATAAATGAAACAGTTAAGAGCACCGGCCATCCATTATTTTATATACTTTTTCTTTTCCATTAGGTAATGCATATAATGATTTTTGGTGATACAATAAACACTTTTTATAAATTCTGGTCCATTTTCATTTGCCCAAGGTGCATCTCACGTTTCTCTTTCTGCACCTCCAATAAATCTAATAAAAAATAAACTGACTAAAAATTTCTAATAAACTAACTAACTAGAAATAAATCATATTTTGAAAAAAATATAAATTAATTCAAAATTAAAATGTTATTGATAAAGCCTGAAATATTATCATGTTTGATAATAAAAACCTATTATCAAACAAATAAAAATGGAGCACTATACAAATTAAAGGTGTCACTATTTTCAAAATAAAAATTGAAAGAAAGAACATTTTATATTTTCAAAACAAATAAAAAACATTTAAATTTGTTATTTAAAAACCAACCTCTTAAATAAAAATCATTAACCAAAAAAATTAAAGTACTATACAAATTAAAGGTTAGGGCCAAGACATTTGTCCCTAGTTAATGATATACCCGTCCGGGTAATAGCAGCATCAGCTCAAACTGATAATCAGTCAAAATGGAGACAGATTTGGTGACAGATCCGGAATGCTTGTGATGCCCTGCCTGTTCTGAAATAATTTCCTAGCTACCATATGTTATCAACAAAACAGAGTAAAAAAATCTCTTATACCTGTTTCAGCTACTATTGAAGAATATAATAAGTAATGTACAAAATTTCTGAAACAAGCATACATACATGCTTGTCCATCACCAAAAAATGGAGCGGAAAACTACTTAGTCTCTACTACTGTCAACGCAATGGATCAAACTCGCTCCTTTTAAAGTTCCAAGTTTTACTGTATTTGCTCCTAGCACAGCCTATTCTTCTTTCCACTTGTTAATATATCTGAGGAAAGCATTGGCAGGATTCTGTCTAGGTGGAGCTCTAACACGAGTAGACCTACGAAGTACAGATTCATCTATAATCCTGTGCATCAAATCCTTTGACCTTTTCTGGAGTTCTGAGCTGTAAAAATACAAATAAAAGGAATGAATCACAAAAGTCAAGAAACGAATTACAGAATAAAATCCAAGAGTAATTAAGATAACACGGAGGCAGCTTTCAATCTTCTTAACCATTCCTATATAATTCAAATGTTTATTAGATAAACTACAACAAACTTCAACTATTAAAGTAAATTTAAATCCGAAAAAAGATAGGGAATCACACGCTTTTTGGTAAAAACTAAATAATAAATTACACTTATCTTCGTTTCCTCAACTCTCCTCACTACCACATCTCTTAATTTTGCATGGTTATCTTTCACATTCAACTATTTAGTTAAATATAGTGTGTTTATTCACACCATTTAGATCGTAAACATGATTGACGGAAATCATGTTATCTATTCTATCACGGTCACTAATATAACCACTTTCGAAATAAATTAGAGTATACCACATTTCACTTGAATTGCAGCTGACAACTCCATAATATATTGATTGGCCAAACTTGGAGATCATTCTACATAAAAACAGTATCAATCTAAAACCACACATGCAACAGCAAATTTCTGATTTACTCCTGCATTTACTTTTATCGGCTAACACTACAAGTGACCTTAGAAGTATGAGTGCATATTGGACAAGTCTAAAAACCAAGGCTTCTGTTGTGAAGTATGTATCAAGATATAACTAACCGTGCAAATAGAAAACAAAGGAAAAAGCTATCCAGGTATTCCTACGTTGAAAATAGAAAACAAGAGAAAAAACAAATCTAACTCACCATATTTTAGTATAATATTTTTGTAGTTGCTTTTGCAGTGCCCTTTCCCGCTCACCCTTGCAATTTAGTGAACTCATCAATGCATCGAGCTATTCAAGCAATCAAGCCAACAGAAAAAGAGAATTAGAAAAGAAAAATGTCCACAAAATAAAATAACAAAGAGAATAAAGAAGACTATCATCATCTAGTACCTCTTCCTTACTGCTGTAGTATCCCCATTCCTTGGAGTCAGAGCTTTCAACAAATATCCTCCCATCTCGACGGAACCACCAATACCTATTGTAATCTCTGTCTTTACCTAAAGGACTTCTACGAACAAATCGTTTCTCCATCTCCTTTTCGAAATATTCTTTCTGTGCAATAGGCAGTGTCAATAAAACATCAATTTAAAGAATAGATAACAATCTAAACAGGGAGACAGGCAGCACCCTCTGTTCTTCACTATTCTTCTCTGACAGATCCTCCTTATCAGCTTTCGACTGTTTTGGTGATTCCTTTCTGGACAATTCTTTTCCATTTTTAGTTGGTTCTTTCAGCTCTGAATTTAGCCTCTTATGGGTCTTTTTTGAAACAGAATTTAAAGGCTTGATCTCACTACAAAGTAGGTTTGAAAGGAAATAAAGTGAAATGGATAACCACCAAATTGAAGATGTTTTATAAATATAAATTGGCAAGCACAAACAGCACACAAGACAAAATCTAACCTTCTATCCAATTGTCTGTTTTGCCCAGTTGGTGCTACCTCTACAAGACTTTTCTCATCCATGTCTCCATTTTTAGTTGGTTCTTTCAGCTCTGAATTTAGCTTCTTATGCGTCTTTTTTGAAACAGAATTTAAAGGCTTGATCTCACTACAAAGTAGGTTTGAAAGGAAATAAAGTGAAATGGATAACCACCAAATTGAAGATGTTTTATAAATATAAATTGGCAAGCAGAAACAGCACACAAGATAAAATCTAACCTTCTATCCAATTGTCTGTTTTGCCCAGTTGGTTCTACCTCTATAAGACTTTTCTCATCCATGTCTCCATTTTGTATACCATGATTATCATTCGTTGGGACTTTAGCACCACTCAGAAGCCCATCCACAAATCCATTGCTTCTGGACTCAGCTTTCAACCGCTCCTTTTCTTCTCTTCTCCTCCTACCCTTTTCCAATGCTTCTTCCCTTCTAGAGGCCCCAAGTGCCTGCCGCTGTTCAATAATCTCATCTAACTTTTCCCTGAAAATTGCAGTTTCAAGGGCTTGGTTGACCAATTTGGATAAGATTTCTAATTTGGCACTGACATCTACAAGGCCATAATGTCCCCGTTTTATAGTTGCTTCATGGTGCCGCAGTTCAGGAATATTGATCACCTCTAGGAAATAGCATAAATATTCAGTCCAATTATTCATTGTAATCTGAAAAAAAAAAAAGTGAATGAGATATTGTCACATTAAAAACAATGATGAGAAAAGCATTACCCTCACCAAAGATACCAGACATAAGAAGAAGAAATACTTAACAGGGCAAAGGCATCTCACAAAATATGAACAATTATCTCTTACTGATACTAATACTAGAAAAAGATAAATGCAAGTCAGATGTATAACCTTAGACTTTAACTTTCGGTTCTTCACAGCCGAAGAGTATTCATCATCATCTTTGATGAGAAATCGAAAAAGTGCTGCATGAGATTCCACAAGGAGAACCACATTGCTATCCTTATGACAGATTGCATTTTCAAAATCTTCTAGAGAGTAAGGCCACAGGTGCAACAGTCGACCAAAGGAATTAAGCAAATCCCAAACCATTAAGAGATCCCCAACACAACTCATTGGAATGTTGAAGTCTTTTGATGGAGAAGGACGATCAGTGAAAACAGGATCATCCGGACCAGGTTTCACCAAGAGATCATCAATTGGGTATTTGATAGCTTCATTCTTCTGTTGAGCATTTTCTGGAAAAAATTGCAGCTTCAAAAATCCTTTTCGATAAAATTAAATTACAAGGGAAAAGAGGGTTTCAAGGTTTTTTTGATAAAGAGATATTATGTATGATGATACCTATACCAAGTACAGGGGAAAACATATCACAGCATTGTAGTTTCTAAACAACAAGAAAAGATGCATCTGCAGTCTCCGCACCACCCAATTTCAACAAAATAGAAACAAAGAGGAGCTAGGGGAAATTTGAATTCCAAAACTTCATGCCTTATAGTAGTACTGTATTATGAAACAAATGACTTAAACAACTCTACCTTTCTCTTGGCAAGAATCATCAACTTGTGCCCCATCCAACTTCTTCCTTTTACTGTTATCAGTGTCTTCCAGTGATTCCTAGAATTGATACAGATAATAATGCAATGCAATTCATTAACAAAATAACAAACCAATCATAAAAGCCATATATTAGAATATTAAACCCATATTCTTGTCATTTATCAATTATATTATACTTCTATAGAAAAAGTGAAGCAGAAGCAGAAACTTCCATGTTTCCCTTATTCAGCAGTCTACCTCATTTTTCCTTTTCTTGGAACAAATTAGAAGTCCATCTCTGTAAAAAACCCTCCCTCTTAATTCTTCAGGAATGTCAGTTGATATTCCATAACTTTTTGCTAGTTCATCATGTAAAACCCATGGGGCATTCTGGCATGTAGATTCCCGAATGAAAGACTTCAAAATATTTCTACTAAAAAGCGGCTTCTTATGCACCAAATCTTCTGCACAGAGTTCAGCTTGTTCACTTATATTTTTGTTTTTGTCAAGCCAAGCTACCTCATAACAGAATGTGTCAACTCCTTTCTGAATTACTTTTAATATTCTGCATGGATGTACTTCATCACCCTTTTTCCCATGTAGTTCAGCACCGACAAACAAACGTTTCTGCAATTTTTCACCAATAGAATCAGCAAGATCCTTCAAAGGGAGCGTGCCTACAAAACAAAAGGATCACTAATCAGTTCAGCAAAAGTGAAAAGTATTGCAACATTTTTCGGATGAAATGCAATGTATAATCAAACTTGAATCAACAACATTTTAGGCAGCAACTCTTTACATGCATGGCTTGTGTAGCTGAGTTTTTAAATTCTTAGAAACGTGTCTTTTACTATTTTACACTACTGTTCACAGAACACAAATTCAAGGAGTCTTCAACTCCAGACAAGTTGTTTTACTGCTTTACACTTCGATTTGATCGCAGTAAGTACTGCAAACATTATAACTTGAATAGTCAAAAGTCTAATATATACCTCAGATACAAGGAGAATAAAACAAAATATCCATGCTCACATCGCCAAGGACTTATCTAGAAAAAAACTGAAGTTCTTATGTTCATCCATAAGATAAACCTAGACCACGCTTTAATTTGCTGTACAGCATTCTGTGATCAAAAGTTAGGACCTTCTACAACGCACAAATGAAGAACTATGTAAACAAAGATATATCAAAACTGAAACTCCAATTGACTCTACGTCAATAAAAAGACAACATGTAAGCATTATAGAGATTAATCTTATGGGTACACATGAATAGGCTTAAAGTCTTAACAAAGAAGTGCACGTGTTAAACCAGCCCCATAGTTATTCACTAATGCAATAAAATATTAACTTGTTTGTCAAAGCCAACTCATTCAATCTAGCTCACAAAGGTTAGCAAGCACACGACTCAGGGTATCATGTTTGAGGCATCAAATACTGAAGCATAAGTTGGTATTTGATATGATACCATTCTGAATAAATATGGGTATCTTAGTATCATCCCCTTCATTAGACACTAGAAAACGACACAGCCAGACAAAATAGGAAACCATTTATACACTGTATGTTAACCCTCTACATTAACCTCCAAAGCCTTCATACAAAATCAGCAGCTACAGGAGGTATCAGAAGTGCATACAACATCAGAGTTTTTCATGCAGAACAAAAAAATATATACGGCAATACGTAAAGTAAAAAAGGTATGCATCATCATGCCAACAAATATTTCTCCATAACAGAACTCGGAGAGTAGTTCTTACTGTATTGAATAATCCCTAAAGCAGTAGTCATTAATTCCTTAGGAAACTGTTGAACTTTCTCAGTAGCATGTTGTTCAGACACTATGGCCTCTTCATAAGTCAAGCCAGTTTTTCCAGTGACTTTACACATCCAAACCCTCTGACGGTATTGATTCAATCGCTTCAAATAATCACTGTCATATGTTAAGGAATCATTATTCTCTCATTGCCGGGACCAGGATGGAATGACAAAGACATTATTGATTAAATATGCAACAACTAGCCTAAGACGCTAAAAAAAGGACAACTCAATCAACATTTTTTAACCACTTTCAAGTTAAAGCCAACAAAGTAATGATGTCAAAAGTAAAACAAGAGCAATTGAAGATCATATAGGATACGGATAATCTCGAAAGATTTCTTTTGTAAATCGAATTTGGTAAACAAGCTCGTCTGGCTTCAATTCCTCAGGGGGCTCAGCCAAGGCAAAAGGCTTTCTCCTTAGAAGAGGCATTGGGTAAGAACCTCAGTTCTTCTCAAAGACCCGCACCTTCCACTGAGATTTTTACAGAACAGAAATCAGTCAATGGTATGATATTAGCAGTTCAATTGATTGATGGCAAAAAAATAAAAGAATCTCGACAGTTAATGAACAAGCAATGAGAAATAGCAATACAGAAGCCACTGGAAATGCATATATTCCGACAGTCTGAAATACATTTATTCTAAGAATCTGAACTCTGAATCACGTACACGAAAATCATTCATCTGTGAATTTTTATCAAGAAATGCAAGGAGAGGGTAAAATGCCTTAATTGCTTTTTATTTGGTCTCCTTGATCAATCACGAGCAGCTTGAAAACTAAAGAAATAAAACACGAAAGCTCAGTCTAACCCAAAACTAGAAGATACTCTTCCCTCGCCGAAACACACCCTCGACTGCATCACAATCTCGTGATTCAAGCTCACTCGTCCCAACATCTATTTTCAAAAGCAGGAACCCTAAGCAAATTCCAAAGACCAAAATCTATAACAACAACAAAATCAATCCACAAAAATCTGTACGACAAAAAAGAAAAATAGTATCACCAAAACCAAGCCTATAACCAATGCAACAAGAAAGAAACCAACACAAAACCCCAATACTTCCGTTCGAAAACCCAAAAGCAAGAACGGCAGAAGAAGACAATCGCACAAATTCATACTTTCCAATAAATGCACGCAGCTTAAGGCCCTACATTGAAAGCCAAATCGCAAAGCATTGCAGAGTCCCAAACCCCAACAGAAGAAAACCCTAAAATGGGTCCCCAATAGGGATCTCAAAAGGCGTAAACTCCAGTGTACCAAAAAACACGCAAACGCCACACCAAAACGCGGCACCGAATATCCAAAACGCAAATCGCAAAAGAAACATAAACGACACAACGCATTCAGAAGAAACTCCGAAACCGAAACGAATGAACAATTTAGAATCGGCGAAAACCCCCAGTTCCCGCCACAACCCGATATTAGGTAATTACAGTTGAAAATAAATTAATTAAATAAAAGAAGGAAAGAAAGTTGCAGAGTGGAAGAGAGAAAGTGGGAATGGAATAGAAGAGAGGGAATGAGAGAGTGAAGAGAGAAGATCTTACAGTGAAGAAGTTGGTGAATGTTTGAAGGGAGAGCGGAGACACTTGTGTTTGCGATGTTGTGTCTTCGTTTTTGTATATTCCGAATTGCGAGCGAAGAAGTTTCTCACCTTTTCTTTTTTTTCTTGCCTCCGCTCCTTGTGTGTGGGAAAAACACACTATTCTTATTTTTATTTTTATTTTATTTTATTATTTGCTTTTTAATAATATTTTCATGCCAAATTTCCAATTGCGACTCTTTCCACTTTAATATTCTGGCCCTACTCTGCAACACGTGTTTATTCTCAATGCATCTTGCAATTCAAATTTTCGGAGTTTTCAACCAAACACTTTTTTTTTTTGTTTTATACTATTTTTACTTTTCACAGTCATAAATAACCAAATGCAATACCTGTGTTACTAAATGCAATAAAAATCAAAATTGAAAAATATAATTTCAATATTGCACTAATAAATAAATGCAATAGAAGAAATTAAAAATTATTACTGTTATGGGACTCTCCCATATATTAATACATGTTAAAAAACTAAGTTTGCTTGTTCATTTTAAGTTAAGAACATTTTTTATGCGACTTGATATAATCCAGACAAGGTTGTTACATTGTGTTTGAATTACAAACTTATCATTATAAATTCATTTCAAATTTAGGGAAGCCATTTTAAGAAACCTTCCATGAAATATATATATATATATATATATATATATATATATATATATATATATATATATAAAGCTAAGAAGAAGTGAGAAGATGAGGATACGTACTGAAAGAAAATTTGAAAAGATTGGAAATAAGAGTAAAATAAGGATTAGAATCATTACATTTGTTTAATTTATGAAAAGTTTAAAGATTGTGAGAATACTAAAACTTGTTTACTTTAAATGTAGTTTTGGATGGGAAGATTATAGAAATGCAAACATACTAAATTGTAGAAATAAACAATTGAAGTAACTTGATCAAAATTAGGGAGAACAATAGAAAAAAATATGCTTAATTACTATAATTTAATAAACTTTGCAATTTTTTTTACAATGATCTATGTAGTTCTTGAAAGTGTTTCTTCTCTAGAAAAATTAAATAGAAATAAACAACTGAGGTAACTTGATTAAGTTTTGGGAGAAGAATAGGGAAAAATATGTTTAGTTATTATAATTTAATAAACATTGCAATTTTTATTTTACAATAATCAACGTGGTTTTAAAGTGTTTCATGTATTAATAAATAAAAAGATATTAAAAAATAATTTTTATTTCACACATTTATTCTATTTATTATTAAAATGCAATTTAATTTGTATGTATATAAATTAAGTTTGCATTAGTAACTTACAAAGATATACTTGAAATAAAGATGCAATTGATTGCTTCGGTGTCGGAAAAAAGTTTGTTCGAATTCACGTATTTCCGTCATTAAATATTATTAAATATTATTACAAACACAGCAACTCCTCAGTTTTTATTATAATATCTTTCGGCACATGCCAATGTTCGAAAAATAAGTACTTTTACAAATGATATTAAAAAATTCTTATTGTAACTAATATTATGAATTCAACACATGTCATGGATAATTACACACGTTTTTTTGAAAAAAGAAAAAATACATGACATTCTTTTTTTTTTTCGTAATTCTATGAAATTGTCATATCTTTTAAAACAATTTCGACGTGCTATGTTTTATAATTACTTGTTATATATTTACACCAAAGGATGTTTTTATATTCAACTCAGTCAAATAAATTGGAAATATCTTCACGTATAATATTGAAGTACACCTTTACATTCTAAATCATACATGGTTAATTAGAAATACTCTTACATGTGTATAACCTTATTTCACCTAAATAAAGTATTAACTATTAAATAAAATATAAATTGAATCGAAGTTTCACCTAATAATACTAGATTTCAAAACCTTTTTTATAATACTTAGTCTTTTTAAGTTCTCGTTGAATCATCAATAGAACATCTTCCAAACAAGTCTCACATCTATAATTTTGTACCATTGTATATTAATATAATCTTACACTAATGCACTAATGGAATGCTTTTACACACTATAAAAAAAACCAATGATGTTGTGTTTTTTTATTCAATACATTTGTCTAATTCTCGCATCGGTTATGTAATACTTAGTTAAAAACTTTTAGTCCTATAAAATAATTTTGGTATTTCTAGTTAAATGGAGACATGTGACTAATATATTATACATTTATAACTAGGATTAGTTCAAAACTTTTTAATGTATTTTTTAATGCATCACTTAATTACTTAAATATAATCGTTGTTAAGTTGCTCATTTTTTACATGAAATGTTTAGTTGTGCTTAAAATATTAGTCAATAAATGTTTTTTTTCTAAATTTAAATGCTATAATCTTATCTAGTTAGATAAGATTGTGATGAAAGGAATTGATGTATAAAAAAAAATTAAGTTTACTAGCTTTCTTTACCTCTCTATCAATGAAATAAAAAAGAATTTATTTGTCCTTGTTCGATAAAAAGTTGTAGATTTTAAATCCAAAACAAATGATGTTGAGACCTCTCGATTTAAAATAAATAATAAAAGGTATAAAATAGTTTCTTCCTTAATCGTGATAATTAACATTTTATTTATAAGTATTGTTACAAAAATTGTTTATTCTCCATAACAAAAAAATGTTACAGTTATAAGAATAATAATAAAAGATAAAAATTACAAAGATAATATAGAAATATAAAGATAATAATTATTTATCTATTATTTTATGATACAAAGATATTAATTACATATATGATCAATTTTTTTATTAACTTTAAACTAAATATACGACAGATTTATGTCTAATTTTTTGACCCATAAATTTTAGATCAATTTTTAGATATTTAATATCCATCTTTGAGTATAGAATCCAAATGATCAAGACATACAAGTTCCCAAAAAATTAAAATCTCTTAAGCACGTTCCTTTGATTTCAGATCTTACTAGAAAAAAATATTTATCTTTAATAATTAATTTATGCAGAATGAGTTCCTGGGTAAGTGTATCTTATGTATAATAGACCTAAAAGTCTAGAATCATACTCTAAAAACTAGTATGCAATAATTGGTAAATATTTATAATTTGCAGACGATTTTTATCAAAAAGGGATTCAAATGACTTTGAGGAATAAATAGTAAACAGACAAATTTTCTGTGAGAGTTAAGTAACTACCAAATTCATGTTTACTCTTTCACTAACTCTTATTCTCCTATTATGAATATTGAATTTTTCCTATAATTGTTCTCAACGAATCATATAAAAATAAACACAGAAACATTAAGATAAGACAATAAGAGAATCATAAATCCTTTAATTTCAACATCCCCAAAGTCCATTGATTAATCATCTGTTTGGTTATGGAAAATGAACAGACGGATAAACAACTTAGGAGTGAAAAAGTTATAAAAATGCATTAAGTTTAGTATAATAATATAATAAATTAAGATAATAATAATAAAAAATATGATTGATATGAGAAGTTATATATAATATGACTGAAAATGTTAATAATTCTTCATTTTCATATTTCTATACAATCGTGCTAAGGCATCACGACCCCACTGAATTAAAATGATAATGTCGATTGACTTAATTTTCTTTTTACTTAACTTATTCTTTTTCTTAAATGATTTTAAACCCTTGTTTATTAGATTTACATTATTTGCCAAACAAGGTAATAGTTGATTTTATGGATCAAATAATACAAGATTTTGATTAATTTAGTAACAAAATGACACTATTTTAAACATCAGAAAATAAAACTTATTAATAAATGTCTTTAGTTAGAAACTTTATTTTGTTAAGGATGGATAATTTTTTATATAATCAAGATAAATTACGGAAAATCATCAGCATAGTACTTTATCTAAAATGATTGATTATTAACAATCATAATTAAACACTCGAAGAAGGTGTGGATCCTTTTACAAACATTAATATTAATTGTTGATATTATTAATTATTAATTTTAACATTTGCTATACATATAAGGAAGAAGAAATACTTAAAAAGTTAAAAAAAAAACATAGATTTCATAATGTATCATGAATACATAGAAAAAATTGTACCACTTTTCAATCTTACATAGATGGATGTGAGATTTTGCTGTAACATTTTTACTATACTCTTCAAATTATGTAAACCACATTACGTATGAGGCTTAAACGCTTCGGGAACACTACTTATACATTTTTGTACTCAGAAGGGCTAAAAGTTGGGGAATGTCATATGTTATGGACAAAGCACACATTAATTACAACTTAACTTACTATTGGAAGTCTCACATCCCCACATCAACTACCAGAGATAAGAATAAATTATAATATATAAGTGAGGTGCAAATTTCACCTTACAAGTCAGAGTTTTGTGGGGTGGGGTTAAGTTAAGCTTAAACTTACTTTCTAATATGATATTAAAGATAGGTTAGAGCCTATCACAAGTCGGTTCTGTGGACTTGAGTTAAGTTTTGTGGGATTGAATTGAGCTTAAACATACTTTCTAATACTTACCATTGACAAAAACTTGAAGATTATTGAACATAATTCTTCATACCATTATAACAGCACCAAATAATGTTGATTTTTACATGACACTTGTTATAGGACCAACGTTGTACATAATGTTTAAGTATTTCCATAGACTATGTCTCTTTCTTTCTAAACAAGTATAGTAATAGTAATACACTCAAAATCCAGTTCAATTTAACCTCCAATATTTTGTAATGTTTTAACCTAAGTTGTTTTCCTTACTTTTGGAATAAGTTCATCTGGACACATTTAAAACACTAAACCAACTTAATTTATCTTAGGAGACTTTTTTTCCTCCATCTCTATTTTTTTTTTTCTACGTCTCCAAATTTTGATTACAGTAAAACAACCTTAAAATCTAATTTCTTTCTCTTATATTTACTTTCTTACAACACTCGTCTCTCTTCCAAAACAGCGACCCACAACACAATACACACTCTGATTTCTATCCCACTTGTCACCCTCTCCCCCTTCCTGCACTCCTACAACAAACACTTTTTTCCTCTTTTACTTCACTCACTTCTTTCCCTCTCCCGTGCACCTTGCCTGCTCTAACCTTTTTTTTTTTCATTTTCTTTTCATGGCAAGCTCAACAACCAAGTAAGTATTTTTTATTGTTTATTTAGGCTATTTTGAGAAATTTATGTAACATTTGAACTGAATGTCGAAGTCCATAGCTGATTTGGGAAAGAAAATCGAATGTGGACTTTAAGTACCAGATTTAGAAATTTTGTTAAACAAATATTTGTTTGTAATTCGATTAAGTGATGTATTAAATTTAAAAATTCGATGGAGTGTTTTGGATTTGGAGAAGGTAACAAATTTCGAGATATGGAGGAAGTTGGATTTCAAAATTCGATTAAATAGTATATTGAATTTCAAAATCATATATATATATATATATATATATGTGTGTATAATTTTTAATTTTTTGTAATGGCTTATCATTTTGTTATATTTTTATTTTATTTATTTTGTGTGTTCTTGTTTTATTTATTTATTCATTTTAAGTTTAATTATTTGTTGGATATATTGTTTTTAATGTTTGTTTGATTTTGATTATTATAAAAATGACAAGTGAAATTATTTTGTCGTTTACATAAGAATGCAAAGACAAATAAGAAAGTTAATCCTGTTAACGTAACTTCAACGGTCTCTAATAAGAATCGATATTTGTTGGTTTTGTAGATGTTATTCATCAAAAAAACTTTATTAAATGCATTCAGATAAGTCCAAAAGAGGTCATCGATCATGTCATATTGGTTTACACATATATTCTAATAGATGTATTTATTACATTATAATCTCATCATCAATTGTAATTCAGTTCTCAAACCTCTAAATGTTTGCAAGTGTATATTTCATTATATACTTGTTTTTTATTGTTGTTACATTACACACATTAATTTTGTTGAGAATGAGGAAAATGTTTGCAAATTTCACTTGACTCTTAGTAATATCAACAAGTAATTATTGTTAAGTGAATTTTAACCTCATAGCAAAAGGGTTACCAACTAAAGTCAGTGACAAATCATGATTATGATATCCACACATTATCTTGAATACCCACCCCATTCCATTAGAAATTGGTTTGCTCTATTGCATTTTCTTATGTTGGAGATCTATTAGGTTGAACATCAAATTTATATTTCTTGTAATTTCCTCCCATTTCTCATCCTAACAACATATACATCTTTCTCTCACGTTCACCGTTATCTTTATTTGATCTTATAATGATAACAACAAAACAAATATCAAAAGCAATCCCTTGAACACACTAAATTAACTCATCATGTAACCTTCCCTTTTAGAATGTCACGAGTCAATAATTTTCTTTTCTAAGCAGATAACTTAAAAGAACATTCATATAATTCTTAAACTAAGCAATTAAATAATAGTCATTAAAATCCAAATAAAAAGACTTTTATTACAAACTTGTAACTTCTAAGTCAACTTCAAAAAACAAATAAATCAAATTAACCGAAAATGTTCGAAAGTAAAACAAAAGAAATCTTTTTCAGTTTCTCCCCAATTTCTTACTGCTCTAATCATCAACTGGAACATATGTATTAACGTCTGCTCCCGTATAACAACACGACTCCCGTATAACAACATGAATTATACGATATTGCATTTACACACACAAACAATAAGGGTAAGCTATCATGTTCAACATCTGATAAAAAAACAACATATCAATTGTTAGTCAACAAAGTAATGTTGTTAACATGCACATTCAATCAAGTATATCATAACTAAATAAATTCAAGAAGACACATGTTGTCCTTTTGTACTCTATCATTGCGATTCTATAAAACTTAAAAAGGTAATCTTTCATCTTAAATATGAAGACTCTAACCACCTATAACATGAGATCAACATAGAATACTTTATTTGCTCAATAATAATAATAATTAGAGATCAACAAAATCATAAAACAAAACAAGCAAATAAAATTTAAAAAACAGTAAGAAAAACAAGCAAAATAAATATAAAATAAAAATAAAAACAATATCAGATTTTGAATTTCGAGAGAATACTTAATTGAATTTTAAAGTAAGCAAAACAAGCAAAATAAATATAAAATAAAAATAAAAACAATATCAGATTTTTAAATTCGGAAAAATACTTAATCGAATTTTAAATAAACAAAGCAAGCAAAATAAATATAAAATAAAAATAAAAATAATATCGAATTTTTTAAATTCGGGAGAATACTTAATCGAATCTTAAAATTCGACAGTATCTTTAATCAAATTTCAAATTTCGGTTTTTTCTTAATGCGAATCTCCTAATCTGATGAGTTTTTGAATTAGATTTTGAAATTTGATGTGTTCCTAAATCTAATGATCAAATTACTTAAATGTATTTTGAAATCCAATTCTTCTCTAAACCAAATTTTGAAATATGATGATTATTGAAATTTTTCATGGAGTGACTTTCAAAATTTGATAAAAAGTATCAAATTCGACTTTAAAAAAACAACCAAATAAGTGGAGAAGAATGAAGTGAGTGTCTCTCTCTGTTTCAAATGGAGACGAAGGAAGAAAATCACAAAAGCGTAATTGAAAGAAGAAGAAAAGAATTGATGAAGAGAAAAAACATAGTTGGAAGGGGTTACAAAAGTAACTCATGGGTGTCAAAATTAGTAAGGTTAAATATGTTTTTAGTCCCTAAACTATTGGTCGTTTCTGGTTTTCGTCCCTCTTTCAAAATAAGGTACAATCCTCAAAAACTAAATACTGTTTAAAAATTTGGTCCTCATTTAGCAACAAATGAGGACTAAAACCAAAATTCCGAGAACTAAAACGAACAGACTAAAAACATATTTAACCCAAATTAGTAAATATAACATATTTCTCAGTAAATACGTTTGGTGAATAGTAATTATTATTTATCCAAATAATTTAATATTACATATATATATATATATATATATATATATTCTAAAGGACATATTTGGCATTGAGATGCAGGAAGAAAAATTAAAGGTGCAGGAAGAAAACCTGTGGAGAACCGAAAGAAATAAAATGCAAAATTGCACGAAAACACACATGCCGAGCCCAATTAGGTAACATTGCAGAAGAAGAAGGTTGTTGCTTCCTGCACCGCTATAATCATTAACTACACCAAAATAAATGGAAAAGATTCAAACATCCTTCACCAATGCACCAAACATGCTAAATAAACAATACCTCACTATTTTGTCTAAAAAATACAACTAAGCACACACGTTTTTATCATAACAACAACGAATAAACTATTGAATAAAGAACTGTGAGACTTTATATGAAAAATGAAAAACGTAAATACTATATGCAGAATAATATGGTTTTGTTTTATAACCATCGACTGAAATCTTGTTTGCTATGGGGTTTTATTGGGTGGAAATATAGGGTAGTGAGTGATGTTGTAGGAGAGCATTGTTGACTTGTTTCAAGAAACTCGATCATGGTTATGCCCGTGACGCACTTGCATTTTATTAACCAGTCTAGTTCACAAAAACCAAAATTACCTAACCAAGACTTTTGTGACCATAAACATCTCCTCGTAGCATTAACATTACTAATTTTTAAATGTAAATAACACAAGTTTTTTCTTGATACCAGAAGGACTTTAAATGGTACAGACATTTGGCACTTTAAGACTTTCGTAATTTTGTAAAATGGATAAGGTAAAAAGTAAAAGAAAGTATATTAGTAGAATGATAGCGTCCTGTTCCAAGTCACGAACTTTGAAGGTGTTGGGTGAGAAGAGGTTAAATGGTCCCAGAAATACCAATCTTTAAAGTTCTGCAATACCCATGTTTGGTTAGTGGTGTATAAACACATGTGGGCATAAAATAGCAAGTATAAAGAAGAAAAGTCCCAAAAGAAGGAGGAGCAGAAATGATGGTTATTTATTTTAAAAACGAATGAATCGGAATGATACTTGTGGAATTTGGTTGGTTGATGATTTGGATTCTTGTCTTTAAGGGCAGCGTGTGGCCCAGAAATCATTGACGCAAAATATGGAGCTACGATCTGATATGATGAATCGTGAATCATCTTGTTTTATTTTTGTTTTTTTGGCCGACAATTGTCAACAGATCAAAGTGACACACTTTTCTTAATGCCTCATGTGAAATCGACCTACCGAATCAGCGTCACACACTACTTCTCTACCCGTGTCTCTCCAATTGCATTTTCTTAGGATAATTAAAATTTGTCGTCACAGGTTAGTTACAAGTCCCACACCACTAAATTAACCTCAAATTCTTGTAATAACTTTCTAGTTTTGCACAGGGCTGAGGTCACTCGCCAAAATCTTCCATGTCAACAACACTGTGTCTTACTTCAAGGTTCTATATAAGGTTCAACATGTTTGGATGACAGAGAGAATATTATTATCAAAATATTATATTTTTGTTCAATTTCAAGAAAAAAAAAAAGTTATCATCTGTTTGGGTTGAAAATTGAAACGCGATTTTTTCGTAATTCCATCTCGCCTTACAAACACAACACCGCACTAATGGCGATACATATGATATGATTCATGTGTTACACACTCTCTCTCTCTCCATCTCGTATGTTTCATTACAACTACTACAACTACATAAAACTTTACGTATAATAATATTGACACTACGATAGGGAGACGTAGGTAACGTCGGTGACGGAGGAACAGTGATAAAAAAACATGGTTAGTACGACATTGACGTACATGCTGGAAAGAAAAAACAAACCGTAAAAAGCAAAACAAAGCATTGCAGCAGCAATGGTTGAAAAAACCAAGCCAAGGCACCAAAGCGAACCAAAACCAAAACCTCTTAACTTCGTGTCATAATTTCTCTCGTTCTTTTTCAGTTTCCTAGGATATGCTGCCACCGTTGGTTAACTCTGCGGCTGCTCTCCGCCGGCGGTGAGAGACCATGCAAGAGACGCTTCTCACTCTCCCTCTCTCTCACCACCAAGACATCCACATTCGGGCCAAGAAGAAAAAGCCGCAGCAGCCGGGAAGCGGACATAGCAGCAGCAACAGCAGTAGCAGCGGCGGCCACTCCACCACTCGCGTGTCGCGGCGCGTGAGTCCTGTCGGGGAGAAGTCTCTGCCCAACGGAGACATCTACAGCGGCACTCTGTCGGGGAACGCGCCGCACGGCACCGGGAAGTACCTCTGGTCCGATGGGTGCATGTACGAGGGGGAGTGGCGAAAGGGGAAAGCTTGTGGCAAGGGGAGGTTCTCGTGGCCCTCCGGCGCCACCTACGAGGGGGAATTCAAGTCGGGTCGGATAGACGGGTTCGGATCCTTCATCGGCGTCGACGGCGACATGTACAGAGGGTCCTGGATGGCCGATAGAAAGCACGGGTTCGGCGAGAAACGATACGCTAATGGGGATGTGTATGAAGGTTGGTGGAGGTGCAACTTGCAGGAGGGGGAGGGGAGGTACACATGGCGGAACGGCAACGAGTACGTGGGGGAGTGGAGGGGTGGTGTGATTTCGGGGAAGGGTGTTCTGGTGTGGGCGAATGGGAACCGTTACGAGGGGTTTTGGGAGAATGGTGTGCCTGTGGGGAAGGGTGTTTTCACGTGGTGTGATGGGAGCACGTGCGCGGGGAACTGGGGGAAGGAGTTTATGGAAGAGGCACGTGAGGAGAAGATGAAGAGGAGTTCTGTGGATGGGTGTAGGAGTGTGAGCTTTCCCAGGATTTGTATTTGGGAGTTGGATGGAGAAGCTGGGGACATCACCTGTGACATTGTTCACAATGCTGAGGCTTCTCTGTTCTACAGGGATGGCACTACTGCCAGTGAGTCTGAGAACGGTGGAGATGATATTATTATCAATAATAATAATGGGTGTGGGGTTTTGCAGAAGAGTCCTTGTTGGTCTCTTGATGGTTCTGGTGGTGAGGTTAAGAAGCCTGGTCAAACTGTGTCCAGAGGGCACAAGAATTATGATCTCATCCTTAATCTTCAACTGGGTATCAGGTATCGTTGGTTTTTGCTTTTGAAGTTTGCTATTTTTAGTTTCATTTCAGTTTTTCTCATTAAGGTGTTTTTGTTTTAGATACACTGTTGCCAAGCATGCTTCTATAGTGAGAGAGCTTAGACCAGGGGATTTTGATCCCAAGGAGAAGTTCTGGACGAGGTTCCCACCTGAAGGGTCTAGGTTTACGCCCCAGCATCATTCAGTGGACTTCAGGTGGAAAGACTACTGCCCCATGGTGTTCAGGTGTGAACATTAGCGATTTTCTTTGCTTTGAATGTTCTTTTTTTTTCTTAGTAAGGAAGGTTTGGTTATTGGTTATACTAATTGTGTCTGTGTCTTGGTGGGTACTTGTTGGTTGGTTGGTTGGGTATTTAGACATCTAAGGGAATTATTTGCCATAGATCCTGCGGATTACGTGCTTGCTATTTGCGGAAGTGACTCACTTAGGGAGATGTCTTCTCCGGGAAAAAGTGGAAGCATCTTTTATCTCACTCAAGACGACCGCTTCATAATTAAGACTGTCAAGAAGTCTGAAGTCAAGGTTAGTCACTTGGAATTTATTCATTAATTTGAAGACACTAGACAGAACTATAGACATTGTTAATTGAGTGAGGTGAAACTTTGCTTTCATCTGTGGTTGGTTACCTTGTTATTTTCTGGGTGTTCAATAGTAATTTTTCGCTGTCCATGTCAGGTGCTCATTAGGATGCTTCCAAGCTACTACCAACATGTTTGTCAGTACAAAAATTCCTTGGTGACTGCATTCCTGGGCGTGCATTGTGTCAAACCTGTTGGAGGTCAAAAGGTATGGTTTGACATTTGAGTTTTGTAGCACTAATTAAGGTGGTTTTTTTCACCACCTATAATGCTTGTCAAAATGTAATGCAAAGTTGTGATACCATGGATGAAACAGACCCGGTTTATTGTAATGGGCAATGTGTTTTGCTCCGAGTACCGGATCCACAAGAGATTTGACCTCAAAGGTTCTTCTCATGGTCGAACAACGGATAAGCCAAGGGAGGAGATTGATGAGACTACCACTCTCAAAGACCTTGATCTTAATTTTGTCTTTCGCCTGGAACAGTCTTGGTTTCAAGAGCTTATACGGTATAGATTTTGCCAAGTTGCATGTTCTTTTATTTTTCTGGGTTTTCGTTTTGTGTTTTCTTGCTTAAGAGTTGGTCTCAACTTTTATTTACCGGCATTTGTTTAGGCAAGTCGATAGAGACTGTGAGTTCTTGGAAGCAGAGGGAATCATGGATTACAGTCTTCTAATTGGCCTGCATTTTCGTGATGATTGCTCGGTTGATGAAATGAAAAGTTCACCACGCAATTCATATTCGGGTATTTGTATACTTTTTGTAGTTTTTTTGGTTCCAAATCCTGGAGGGGTATAAAATCTTATGTGTTATTGATTTACCAGGCAAGAGAGACATGCTTGACGATGAAATGCTCACATGCCGGTATGTATTTTTCTTTTTCTCTTTTATTCACATTTGAGTTTCCCTGTCATCACAAGTGTATAATTCAACTGTTCGCAATATCTTGCATTTTTCTTTCACCATTTAATAGTATTTAATTGAGGACAATGGTTGAATATCTAGAGAAATCTTGGTGCGGTTTCTGTCAGTTTCTGGCTTGAACTATTAATGTCAATTCCAACTCAGCATTTGGTGTACAAATACAGTCAAACAGGAGAATCTGGATTGTTTTAAGTATACACCAATTCTGAGTTAATAAATGTTACTCCTATATGATTTATAGGGGATAGCATTTTGGTCTTTTAACACCGTTCTCTTGTTTTGTACCCGATGGTATCCGTGTGTCGTGTCCTTGAGGTTTATTGAACATGGTCCCGGCTCTAGAACTAGCAGAGAGATTAAATGCTTTCTGTTTATACATATATCAATTTGGCCCATGTGCCTGCAAAATGCCAAGAGGATGTGGCCGCAAGTTGGGTAGAAACAAATCACTAGCTGCTGATGGATATCATATTTGCAACTCTCTAGTCCAATCCATCTATGACTTAGGTGTGACTTGTTGATTTCTTTTTAAGAATACCAACGCAATGGCTGAGAATTGAAATGCATCGAAAGTGACCTGAGTTGTACTGCAAAAATTGGACTTAGTTTTTTTCTGACATTTCAAACAAACGCTGGTGGGGTCTTTTTGATTTTTTTAGGTGAGGGCACTGCTTTCTTTTCAACAGCCAAATGGTAGCTGACAGGGATTTTGATGGATCAGAATGTTTTCTAGGACACGAGACTTGTGAGATGTATTTGTGTACTACCCGTAACAGATGATATACATGTTTTCGTTTTTTGTATAGCACCGTTCAATTTCAACCCCTAGAGAGTACAAATCTAGTCACGTCTAGGTGAATTATCAGTGCTTATTCTAGCAATTGACGCAACGAATAAACTTAAGTAATTTTGTTTCTGTTTGGCCCTCTTGATGACATCTGCATAGGATCCAAATTACGTAAATTCTTGATCCATTCTTGATATTCCAGGGGACCTCTGATCCGGCTGGGAATGAACATGCCTGCCAGAGCCGAGAGTGTGTGTAAGGGTGGATTGGATCAGGCAGCGGGTAGTGGAAGTGGCAATTCATGTTGTATCCCTTCAGAGAGTAACAACAACAACAGGCAGATATCTGATGTAATCCTCTACTTTGGTATCATTGACATTCTCCAAGACTATGATATAAGCAAAAAGATAGAACATGCATACAAGTCGTTACAAGTGGACTCCACCTCTATCTCAGCTGTTGATCCCAAGCTGTACTCCAAAAGGTTCAGGGATTTCATACACAGAATCTTTGTGGAGGATAAATGAGCAATGATGTTCTTGGAGGCAAAGGATCTGGCTTGCTAAGATGACATTCCATGCACAAGGGAATGCTTAATTTTCCATAGATGGACTGGAATTCATTATGGTTGTTGATGGCTAAATTTTTCTCATAGCCATTGCAAAGATAATGGTTGAAAATTGAAAGGGACGGGGGGAGAGGACTTTGGACAGGAATGACACTTATTTTTCACTTTTGTTGGGAAGGGAGAGAGAGATTGTCACAGTAGCTTGTACAGGGCATGTGATAAGAGTTCTTTATTTGGATTGCTTTTGTTATGGATGTAGACATTGTGGGGTGTGGAGAGAGATTGAAATTGAGGCGGAGGGGGGGTTAATAACTGTACAGACAGTCAAAAGATTGATAATAGAATTGAATTGAACATAGATTTTTGGTTGGAGGACCGAAAAAGAGATGGTATACCTGTTGAGCAAGAAAGAAAAGTTCCCAGAGGGACCCCCCTTGGTGGCCCTCACTCTCTCTCTTTCTGTCTCTGTGATGTGCGTTCAAACGGGTTTTTTTAAAACTTTTTTCAGTAGTAATATGCATAAAAAGAAGAGAAAAGCAGAAGAGAGAAAGGAAGAGGTGGGTGTTTCGTTGGTTGTTGATGGATGTCCCTTGCAAAAACGAAGTTTGAAAAAGCAGAATAACAATAATACAGTGTTATGGTAATGTCCCTTTTACTTGTTTTGAACAATACACAGAGAAGGATGGAAAGAAGACGACAAAACAATCACGTCAATGTGGACCCTTTGTGGCATCTGATAGGTATTTATGCATGTTATGCCTCAGCATTTTAATAATGAGAAAAATGATGGAACTTGGCAGAGAAGTCTCCGCTTCACTCAATCACTGACCCCACAAAGACCAAAAAAATAGCGATTTTGATATGTATCTCATGTGGTCAAATCAGAGCGAGGAAGAGAGAATAGTGGATTTTGTGTTGGCATTGAGATCCTAATGCTGCAGCTGCTGCTTCTGCTGCTGCTATGATTTGGCAGTTTTTGAGCGTGACCATGTCCTTTGTCCGACACCACTGCTAGTGAAACATCCTTGTAATTGTAGAATAGTCATTATACTCAATCTGCCACTGTCTATTGCCTACCTGGTATCTCTTGTTCGTTTCCTATTTCTTCTCAAAACACTCACAAATTCATCATTTTTCATTCATTTTTCTTTTCTTCCTCACTTTTCCATCACCTGCTAATATTGGATCCTTATGTATGCATTTTAACTACTTCCCTTCCAATTCTTTCTCACCAGTGACACAAAAGTTGAGTTCAGCTGCATCGATCACCACTATTTCCTATTTCATATGCTTTTCTTTCTCATCACTGCTTGCTTGCTTATGCAGTAAGTAGCTTAACATGTTTTCAAATAATAGATATATATTTCAACCACGCATAATAGATAGAACGTGTTTGGTTCAACGTTAGGTTTTTTTCAGAAACACAGTAAAATCCTTAACGTGATTTTAGATGAATTATCATGTATTTGTTTCATGAAGATGAACTGAATATTAGGCGAAAATACTTTAAATACTTTTTTTTAATAAAATATTTAACTGAACTTTCTTATTTTATATTTAACTTGTTATAATAAAATTATTCAAAGACATAATTCATGTTGCTTAAAAACTAATTTTGTCTAGTGCTGAACTAAACATTCACCTAACTTTCTTTTCCTTGTCAGTATGCTGTCGCGTGAATTATGTATTTACATTTAGGGTAAAATATTTTTTTTTATCCTCATATTTTAACGTCAGCCTGATTAATTAATTAGTTTTCAAGCATTGAAAACAAATTTGAATTCAATTATTTTAACCTTTTTACGATAAAAAATTATCACTGTATCAAATTTAGCTATAAACAAAAAGTAATAATGTGAATTCAGTTCTTTTTATCACTGTTTTTTGTGACAAATATATATAATCGGCACTAAACATTAAATTCAGTATATAAATTATCAAAGTAATATATATTTAAAATTTGGAGAACTGAATCTATCAATTTTCATATAAAAAGTCAAGACAGATTAAAAAATATTAAAGACCAACATTTTCTTTTCCGGGATTTTGAGTTTAAGATTCAGTTGAGCTAAAATGAGATAAATTTCGTATTAAATCTTTATACTACTACGATTTAGAATAAACATTAATTTTTCCTAAAACTAATTTAATCAAAATTCATTTTATAATCAAAATAGGTCCTCTTCTATAGGTTTAATTTTGTCATTTCTATTTTAAACTCAATCTTAGATTCTTAGTGTTGTATAATGATAATATAAAATGATTTTTAATCCTTATATTTTTGTATCTTAAGTTAAACACATTGATGGAAGAAAAGTTACTGCATTACAAAATCAACCTTGAAGTTGATTGCAGAAGAAGAAGAGAAGAGCAAATAATTTTACACCGAATAAAATGATGCTGCTTTATGAAAGATGCACAAAATAAATCACAACGTTACGAAACACCAAACACATAATGACATAATAAATTGCCAAAAATTAGGGTTTAGTCGGTGTGTTTTAACCTCTTCATTAACATCATTCCATGATGTTTCAACCTTATTTCTTTTATGTTTTTTGTTTGATTTCTTTAACGTCGTCACTTTTTAGCTATTGTGATGTTATTAGTGTTGGCTACTTTTTAGGTGTGTTTTTCAATTCCAAAAGTAAGTTAAGGAAGAACAAGAAATTGTTATTTTATTATCACTCTTTTACATGCTGCACCCTTGCAACTTCTTCTCACACCCTTAGAAAAATGTGACATAAAATTTCTGAAATAAATTTTTTGAAACAGAATTTTCAGAACTAAATATCCTAAACAGAATTTTCGGAATCATATTTCGGTCAAATACATTTTGGCAAAGCTTTTTCGGAATAGGATTTCCAAAATGATTTTTTCTGAATATAAATTTATGATTATGGAGGTGCAGTTAGTAATTGAGAGCGTGCTGGATACAATAGCCTTATTCTAGTTAGGAGGTCCAAAGCGGTTAGATAGATGAAATTGGGTCACAGCTCCGATTCATAGCCCAATAACTGAATAACCCGCCCATTTAATTTAACTTGATGTGGGCCATACTAAAAATGACTATTAATAGCCACGCCTGATTAGACACCTCTCCTCCAACGAAAAGGCATGCTTGATTTAATTATTGTGTTGTTAGAACAAAAAGAAAAAAAAAGTTTCATTAGGTGGTGAAAATTTTGTTTGTATGCGAACTTTTTCTAATAAATAATAATTATTTACATAACAATTTTTTTTTTCTTTTTCTTTCTCTTTTGACTTTGAAGTCACTTAAAAAGATTTTCTCGACATCATTTTCCTACCGTTCAAAAAGTCATTTCAACGATAGACCAATTTAGAGCTATTTCAATATAGGCTTAATTGTAATTTTCATCCTTATATTTTATAAAATTTTACAATTTTAATTTAAGTTTCTTATTTTTTACCTTTTTAGTTTTTCTATTATCCTTTATGTATCTTTAAAAAGCTAAATCTATCTTTCTATTACTATTACTTTGTACATTGTATGATGTGAAAAGAGAAAACACTTAAAAATACTATAAAAGTAGAATCTGTTTGTCAGTTTTTTTTTTTTGACTTAGATTTCTAATCATAGTGACTGTATTGATAAAAAAAGTATATTTATAAAATAAAATAAATTTAACAGAAAAATCGTTTTACTAGAAAGGGTGATCTAAGATTTTATATAGAATGCTCTAAATTACATTCCATATTAATGGCTCAATTCAGGCTTAACTCAATTTGATATTGGGCTTCTTGTAACTTGATACGGTACAATCCGCAACTGGAAATTTCTTCCTACACCTCCATAATTTTATCCTGCACTCCCATAAAATAACCAACCATGTAACGTTAGGAGATAAAAATAATAGTAAGAATAGCTGGGTAGCTTAATGATAATTTACTCTAACAATACATATATTCATTAACTACACAATTTAAAAATTATGAATACAAATAAATAACTATAAAGGCAAAAAAAAAATCTTATTTTTTTATTAAAATAATGTATCTCGTTTTTTAATTCCAAAATATGGTAATATTACTTTAATTTTAAATTTTCACCTTATTTAAAAATAAATAAAATCTTTATATCATACTGTAACATCCCAAAATAATGATAATTACCATTAACCAGAACTGATCACATTTACAGAGATAAACAGTGCAGTCTTAAGAATATTACAG